AATAGTGAAGCGTATATGAAGAGTATATCATAGCATAGCATTACAATGATGATTATAGTAAGAAATGTAGTAGGAAAATTGACTCCAGCTGACTGCAGGCTTTGTCAATCTAATCAACAAAGGCTTTTGGCTTTATGGAGGCGTCCATTCCAACTGATCAAGAATGTATATACGAGCAACGGACTCTCTAAGCTCTGGGCATTGCACATTCCGAGACAATATTACAATGCCACTTGACAAGTGTATGAAAATCAAATTTCAGCCAGTCTATCGAGCGACAAGCGACGAGCGTAATGTAATTGGAATGGCATAAACAACAACTATGAACTAAATTAGAGAAATCCAATGAATTTTCCATGCAACAAAATGGCATACACTTAACCGAGAGGAGCAACAGCAGCAGCAACAACAGCAACTTGAGGAAGAGGCACATCCAATACATGTATAGGCATGTGTGTGTGTGTGTGTGTGTATGTGCATAATGGCAAGCCATCATCGTCCACAATTCCGGGCCGTTGATTTCGCTGTTTGTGGATGGGCAACCCACATGACTTGCCACAAAGCAGCGACGCAGTCGCGACAACAAAAATGAAATGAAGTGAAATGGAATCAAAGGCATCCATCGGGACTGTCGACGTTGGAACGGCGCAACCAACGCATGGAAATAGACACAATCGCCGTTCTATGGCGCACAAGAGATCGTCCATGGCAGCCATTCTAGTCAGTTCCGGGGGCAACGACTACCACTACGACTACGACTACGGCTACGGCTATGACTGCGACTGCGACTCTGAGTGCGACGCCGACATCGTCAATGATGATGTTTACAGTTGAGCTGCAGCGCGAAGCGTATCCCCCTATTCAAGGCCTCCCCCACCCACACACACACACACACACTAGCATTTGTCTGGTTTACATGCTATGCGTTCATGTGTGCGCACACCTTCACATTCACCACCTCCTCCAGGTTCATCTTCGCCTCCCATTCGTTCAACCTTTTTCAGCAGTCACTGTTTGTGTTTCGCTCTCGCCCCCTCTGGTAGCCACACCAAAAATTGAGTTTCCCTGACTTTGTGGTCGCACTTTGTGCTTGGCGATACCCAAAAAACAAGATAGTTTAGTTATGGTTAGTGTGCGGTCGCTGCGGAAGCAGAGGAAGTCACGAATTTGCCACAAATATGCCATAACTATGACGAAAATTTAAACAGCTTCGATTGCGGGCATACTTTCCGCATTGTTGCAGTCGACATCAAAAAGCTATAAGGAATTTCATTTCAGGCATAAATAAAGATCGATGACCTCTTCCTGAACTAAACTACCCAACACTGACCCAAATTTACTGGGCAAACCGACAGAAATTGCCACACGGAAGGAACTTTCGGTATGACTGCTTGACTTGGAGGCTTATTAGATATTAAAGTATTGCTAATCGTATATAATTTGTAATATTTGATGATTATAATGAATATGAAAAATATGTTGGATTATAAAATACAATTTTAGAATGTATTGCAGCTCACAAATATTGAGGAAATATTGAAGATTATAAAACCTGATACTACAACATTTATTTTTTTATTTTTTTCAGAAATCTTTGTTAAGTAATTTGTGTATTTTTCTTGAATTATAATTCAAATTAATCCATTCATGATTCATTTCAAGTTGAAATTTTCAACACATATGCTCAAAATTGTGCATGAGTCGTCATAACTTATTAAAAATAATTGTTTTTATAGCGTCCCAATAACTTATTTCGCACACCTTAATTAGAATTGTTTAAAAAAGCAAATTGCAAGCAGCAGAAGGTCTTCAACTTCGCTGAGTTCAACAGCAGAATCGGTCTAGCATTGTCCGTCTGATTGTTGTTGTCCGCCGGATTGTTATCCTGACTGTTCACCTATTCATCTGCTAGAGTGTGGCATATATTTTGTATGAAATTATTCTGCATCGTTCGATTTATTCGTTATTCTCCATGCTTTTTCTATAAAAGTAAACAAATATGAAAAACCTCACATTTTGAGTGCCTCTTCCATGAACCATCCGATATTAGCCAGTCAACTCCTCTATCTAACGATTGATTTTATTTTGCCTTTCATTAATTTTAGGAGCAGCCCCCATAAGCAACTAACATTAGAATATGAGATTTTCAGCAGTTCACTAAAAATTTTAAGCCTAGTTGATGTATAACAAGTAAGAAAGCTCTAGTCGAGCTCTAGTGGAGCAATAGCTATTTCAATAATTTTTCGCGTCTTTCAGCTTACACAAGAAACACGCACACGCGCACACATACACACACACACACATGCACGCACGCACACACACACATAAACACACATGCACGCACGCACACACACACATACACACACAAACGCATACACACACATGAGAAATTAATTGTTTAATAACTTTTTTTGTGGACATACAATCATGAAACTTTCAGATTATGATTACAACATGGATATGCATGTAATTGCCAAAGCACAAGTCTCTAGTATTTGAAATACGCCTTTTAAAAAAAGTGACGGTGAGGGGGTGGATATAGGGGGTAAATTTTAACAAAAACCGAAATTGTATAAATTGCAAGCATACATAAAAAATTTGGAGACTCTAGCAATAAAGGTGTATGGGATATAATTTTATAACTGGTTTTCGATAAGGTCTTTTATCGATAAAAAAAAGATCGGGATGAGTTATCGATTTTTAATGATAAACTTGATATCCGCGCTGTAAATACGGACATTTTAAAGCAAAAATTGAAGTCTCTAGCTCTTATATCTTCTGAAATCGACGCGTTCATACACACGGACAGACGGACAGACGGACGGACAGACAGACGGACAGGGCCAAATCAACTCAGCACATCACCCTGATCAAGAATATATATACACTGTGTGGGGTCTGCCACGCCTCCTTCTGCCTGTTACATGCATTTCAACCATTATACCCTGATTTCCCATTGAAAATGGGTTCAGGGTATAAAAACAAAACTGAGCAAAAAACAGATTCCAGAGTATATTTTGTAGTCAACGACTTCACACACCTTTTTATACCTGTCCTTTGATATGATTTTGTTTCTGACAGCCCCAATTGTTAAATTTTAATTGGAAAAACATGAGCTGTTTTTTTTTTTTTTTTTGCCAACATTTCCAGTCATTAAGGCGCAGCCAGGCTGAATTTTCATAAATTGAGAAAAATATTCAGCTATCGACTAGTTTCAGAATATTTCACCATAAACTATGTAACTGCAATTTTGTGGGCGAACAATTCTAGATGGCTGTTGCACGCACTCGTTTATGGCTTTTCGTGGAATCTGACTGAATGTACGAAAGCCAAGTTGGACCCTTTTGCGATTGCCGAAATGGCCCGTTAAGGCTACGCCCAGTAGTTGGGCAAATCATGCTCGACATGGCTCCAGAACTGCCTGCTGTTTCGCACAATTTGAAAGCTGCTGTTCCGCCTCCTCTTCCGCCTGCCCACTCGGGCCGGGTGCTACATATCTCAACAGGTAACCAAAATGCCGCCCACCTGCACTGCGCACACCTTGCCTGGTCATGCAAATGGCAAATCGCTTTGTTCGAACAGCCAGGCTGTAGCATGGGTATGTGTATGTGAGGAAGGGGAGAGGGTGGTGTCGGAGCCCCACAGTGGGGCTGGCTTGTGGTCTGAGGTGCGTTGATTCGAATGAAATGCCACTAAAGGACGCAATTGAGAGAACAACAAGCTCAACAAGCTGCCTCTGCCTGGAGCCGTTCTTTGTGCTCGCCAGTCCGTATACAGTTTCCCACGATTATATTTGGGGGCGCCACGAATTGTGGCATGCACAGTGCACGCCAATTGAACAATAAACTGTGTCACTTTTGGCGTCTCTTTTGGGTGCGGCTTTAATTGTGCTTGTAAATCATAAATCAACAGTTAAATTATTTCATTGTAAATAGCACCCACAGAGAGAGAGAAAGAGAGAGAGAGAGAGATGGTGAGAGACAGTGCTGGTGAGTTATTATCGATTGGCCTGGTAGCAGACCTTGAAAATGGCACCTCAATGACGAAACCCTAACGTACCCATCGGGGCAACAGCACCCAAAAGAATTCATCGGCTGTCAAATTTAAGTGGATAGCGAAAGGCGAACGCCTCGAACTGCATTTGCTTTAAATTTATGAACTTGACTTTTGGTTAGCTGAATCATACCCAGTCTGCCCTGGTCGGCCTGGCTGGTGCTGGCCAATCGATCAGACACGAAAGCCGGCTCCGAGGGCTTGCATGACTACAGGAAATTACCATAATTTCAATTTAAGAAATTAAACGAATTTTGCTAAAACGAAAAGAGCCTCGCAATGGCCTCAGCGTGGTTCGACTCGACTCGCCTCGGCTCGGCTCAGCTCAGCTCGACCGGGCATGCCAACAGCCAACAGCCAACACCATCTGGCCAAGGCTTTAATCATAAAACTGATTCTAAACAAAAAAAAAATAAAATAAATAAATAAATAAAAATGCTACCACTTTAAGGAATTGAATTATGGGCTTGAATTTACAAAATACTTTTGGCCAACTGGGTAAACTGGGTAAAGGCTCAAGGATATTCCGAAAAATGTTTGAAATTCATTTGTAGTTTTCCATCCATTATTTGTTCAGTCGACCCTCAATTGAGGTAATCCCCATAAGTTGACTAATAATTAAATTAGAAGAATATAAAAAGAAAAAAGGAAGAATAGAAGAATATAAAAAATATAACAACACTAAAAATTAAATAAAGTCGACCTCAGCTCTGAAATATTAACAAATAAAATAAAAAAAAAAATCTCTCAGTATTCATAACTCTCATTCACTAGAATCAATATGCCTATATATAGTATCAAAATAGAAAAACTTCAGTAAATATTTTCTTTTTATTTACTATTCACAATATATTGTAATATTATACAAAATAAAATTAAAAAAAAAAAAAAAAGATTTTCTTTAATAAGTGATTTTCTTTAAGCAACTCATCCTAATTAGTTTTCAAAAAAGTTTGCTCTCTGAAAACACTTTAGTCAAAGGCGGGTTTAGAGCTGCCAACTTCTTAGAAATTTGGGCGCAGAGCCGAAAATCATAAACAGAAGACACAGGAGAGAATGCTAAAATGCAGTCAACACTATTTGCTTAAAGACAAACGTTTACCAACACTGTTAGCAGCTAATAAGCACGTTGAGCAGCTCGACTTCCTTAGCAATTGCAAAAAAAAAAAAGATATAGCATCATATAATCACGGTCTCATATTAAGAGGAAGACGTCTAAGAAACTACAGTAAACTAGAGTTTTTGGCTAAAGAGAAACTTGCGTGGAAACTTGGTGAAACTCTCTATAAAAGACCTAGTTGAATTCAGCCAAAAACCGCGTGGAGAGCTCGTCGCACACACACACACATATACACATTCACACACACACACACACAAACACATACGCTTACATTGACAGCATCTTGACGAGCTGCGGCAATTAGCGCTATGAACTCGGCGAAAGGTGATCCGCTGCTGCAGGTGGCCAAATGTGAGATGTGCCCGCTGAAGGTGACAAACTTTGTGGTCGGCCTCTGCGAGCGCTGCGTTTCAATTTGGACGAGCAAACGGACATTGGAGACGATGAACATAACCATTGACCAGGTGAAGGCGACGATTGTCAGCATGAGCCACAGCAAGCTGAGACATCAGAATATGAGCCAAGTGTTTCGGCGGGTCATCGACGAGGAGCACAGACGTCGCAAGGTGAAAGTGGATCTCTTTCAAAAGCTACGCGAGAAGTTTCAGGACAGCATTCTACTGCCAGAGCTCGAGGCATGCGGCAAGAGCAAAATCAATGTCGTCGAGCGCAATTATGAGTTGACGCAGCCCGACATGGACCTGGAGCCGCTGGCGGACCTCAAGCTGCGCAAATCCCTACACAATTAGCATAGTAGTAAACTATTTTAAGTATGCATCGATAACGTTCGACAAGACAATATTATCGGGTCATTATAAATCGATTACAACTGCCTATTAGTATGACTATCCTTTTGTTCTGCTCAGCGCCAGTAATTGATAGATTTTTGCCTTTGTCTTTGGTTTTTGTTATTGTTTTTGTTTTGGTTTTTGTGGTGCCATCAATTGTGCTGCATCGACCGATGACCGCTTCGAAAAGCAATTGAAGCAAAAGTGATTGCCGCAGCCTGTTTAAAGTCCTTGGGGGACTCATGCACATTTTGGTAATGAAAATGTTTATTCAAATTTGCGTCAATGCCTCTGTTTATCCGAAACAAATATCAATCTACATAAATAAGTGCTAGTGGCTATGTGCACTCATGCCTCTACATACATACATACATACATACATCGACTATCTATAAGGGATCTCATGTGCATATGTATGTATTGGGCCTGTCATTGTTCGACAATTTGTTTAATGACAAAACTAATAAATCAAATGTTTTTGCGTTTGTCCATTACATTCAATTTGGACTGTTGAGGGCAAGGCTGACGTCATGAGCCACCATTAGCTTGAATATGGCTAAAACGGCATGGAAGCTTCTGTGTATTGTGGAAAAGCTTCGTAGAGGGCGCCACCAGCCGATAGATCGATAGCTCTATCGATTAAACGAGATCAGGCCAGCAGCCAGACTCGAATATCAGTTAAGCCCAAGTTGGCTTCAAACGCGCTTCAACACGTTCATAGAAAAGTGTTAATAAATAAACAACTAATTAATAATGAATGATGAATGCATTCCACATTGTTTTTAAATCATTTATTAGTCAAGAAAAGGGCAATGCATAACTGCAAATAACAGAGCTATTGTACACAAAGCAAACAAAACAAACGGAATTCCCAGAAAGATATGCGCTCATAGCAGGCTTTGTGTTACCCTGTATCAGAGAACGAAAGGGAGTGGGAGAGAGAAGGTATGTGCAATATATAATGCAATTTATTTTATTTTTTTTTTTTTGTTTTTGCATATCTATTTATATATGTATTTATATTACACTGCTCCCTTCAGCTTCTTGTTTTTAAATAATTCCTAGAGATCTAAAGACAAATTTTTATTTTATTTTATTTATTTTTTTTTTTTTTTGGCATAGCATAGTCGGATTGCTCTTCGTATTTATCTCACGCACAGCTCAAGTTCACTTAAATATATTATCATATAGAGATAGAACATTTTTACGTAAATTATGCAATGTTTATCATCCTATATAGTTAATATTTAGTAGCCTTTTGTAATCAGACAATAACATTAGCTAATCATATACAGGGTATCCAGCTAGTTGAGTTGCTTTGAACATGTTGCTCTCTCCCCTCTCAACGTCTAGACTTTTCACTTCTATCTTAAATTATGTTGCATACTTTCAGGTTGTTTAATGATTTCCAAGTCTTTAAGGGGCATCGCAGGCTATAAACAAAATGCAACAGATGTTCGAATTGTCAGCTATTTACATTGTCCATTCATAGTGTTTGACAGGTAATAAAAAAAACTCCAGTGCAGCTAACGGTTACTCGTTTAAAGCTTACATTTAGTGTTGGACAACGTGAGGCAATAAAAAAGCATGCGAATGAACATAAATTGATGCATGTTGCAAAGGGAAAACAATGCTGAAATGTCAGTGGAATCCGAGGACACAGCTGTTAGCTGTTGGCTGGGCGCTTTCTGGCTGGCTGGGATCGTAATTAAAGCAAACTTGGCCCAACGAAGAGAAATGTTTGCAGTCAACGAGCAACAACAACAACAACAGCGGCAACAGTAAGGAGCATGGCACAAACTGTGGCATCTGCTGTAATTTTTCAGTGCAGCACACTTGACTTTTATTTGAACTTGCATAGATACATATGTGTCTGACTGTGTCTGAGTGTGTGTGAAAAAGGCAGAGTTAGGGCACTCCTGTCTCCACTTAGACTGCAGTCAAGTAGCGCACTGCCATTTGGGCCACACTTTTGGTTACCTTTGTAAAAGTTTCTTCAGTGCTTTGTTTTTTTTTTTTTTGTTTTTTTTTTTTTTTTTTTTTTTTGTCAGGGCAAGTTGCCAAATTGGCTTAATGGCGTTAATGCGAATACGAGCTCTGACTAAACCAGCAGCCAGCAAGCTGACATCAAAGGTCATTATACAGGCCATCAGCGGCTGCAGTTGCCAAGCCATTTTTCAGAAAATTTTGGCCAGTTATATTACTCGTTGAATGTTCAAATGTAAAATGCAAAATGCAAATGCGAATGCGAATGCAAATGCAAATGCACATGCCAGGCACTCACAAGTTTTTCTTACCAATTTGCAGGAAAGGTAAACAAATGAAATGAAATGCGTGAAGATTTCGCTTTAAAGCCGATTGGCAGTGCCGCCTTGGGCACTTACTAACACCCCTTTTGTGCAGAGTAACAAGTTGACCAACACTGTTGTGTTTTACTGTTAGCATGCCTCCAAGACTCTAAAACGCGTTATGGCACCATTTTCCATTTGCTCTCAGTGCAAGGCAAGAACTCGCAAAGTTACCAAGGATCCCATCACGTTAAAGCGAATTTACTTGTGCCCCGTAAGCATGCTGTATATATATATATAATGATTACAAGGGATTCATTTCAAAACATTTATCAATTCGTGTCCAGATATGCTTCAATGCTAAAAATGAAGCAAAGAATATTGAAAAGAAAAAAAACCAAAAGAAGACAAATCATCAACAAGAGCAGCCAGCGCAGGACGCGGCGAGGAGAGCGGCAAAGTCAGCGACAAAACCAGCGACAAAACCAGCGACAAAACCAGCGTCAAGACCAGCGGCAAAGCCAGTGGCAAAGTCAGTGGCAAAGTTAGTGGCAAAGCCAGTGGCAAAGGTAGTGGCAAAGTTAGTGAGGCAGTCAGTGGCGAAGCACCAGCCCAAGGCGCAGTTCGCGCATATTGCACCACCAAGACTACCCCAAGCAGCGGGCAGAGCTGTCCCAGTCAGCAGTCGAAAATATACGCCGCCCGTAATGCAGACTGTGATCATAAGTGGACGAAAGTATATTGCGATTAGTGCGACAGCCTCCGACTGTTAGAGAAGTAAACAAAGCCGGCGGGTTTGTGTCTCTGCTATGGTGCATATCCACACTAATCGCACATCGAGAGTATTTGCCTCAAATGCAAATATTTACACAATGTAATATATCGCAAAACCACACACATCTATATTTATATAATACAATTTCATATGTGCCACAATTAAATACAATAAGATAGTTTTCTAAAGTTATGTTTTAATAAATATATATATATATTTACAAAATGTTCACAAATTGAAGCAATTTACATATTTCCAAATAGGAGAGCTCTAGATGCTGGTGCCAGACTGGGCGATACCCTCAACCTTCCACACTCAAGTAATGTCTTATGTACATACAAACACTAACACACATGCACACATACACACGCACACACAAAGATGCTGCTCAATTTATGCAGGCAGAGAAGTCATGGAATAACTCTTACTCTAGATGTACGATTTTAATGCAATTTCCAGAATATATTTATGACTGTGTATATACCACAGTGTTCTATTGGATTTGGGGGAGGGTGGGAAAAGCCATGCTGACTTGGAAATATTTGTTATAAAAGCAGGTTTTACTACAAATTTAATGTTTCTATTAATAGGCAATAGCAATTGGATGTTTCTATTTATACACAATAAGAAATGTTTCACAAAAATATCATTTTCTATCTGTTACTTACACAATATATCCAAACCAACATACCCATTTTGACCCTTTTCAATGGGTCCAGCCTGCAAAAAGAAGATGGTCAAGTAATATAATTAAGCATTTTGTGCGTCAAACTTAACAATTTACATAAATTAATTAAAAATACATTGCGTGACGCATAGTGCAACAGCAGCTACAAAAACAGTAGCAGCAGCAACAACAACATAGACGACAAACTAAGTCGGGGTAGTCCGACTAGCAGATACCCTGATCTACCTATTTAAATATTAAATATAAAATGGCTATATTTATTGTTTATTAAGACTTTATTTTGTTCCCGTTTTGATAAGCCGTAAACTTTATATATTGGGTTTCGTTTCAGGAGAGAAACTTTGAGCTTGCTATGTAGCAACTTCGTCTTTAATTCTTATGGGATCTGAGATCGATGCATACGAACGGACGGACGACCGCCTCAGCTCGTCATCCTGTTCAAGAATATATAGTTTACTTTCACATACTTTCAAAGAAAACAACTATACCCTGCTTGCCCTTGGGCTCTGGGTATCAAAATGTTATGCATAAATTTGTTGGGCAATGTTTATTTATAAATCTGCTATCGTTTCATTTTGCAACATCTATTGTTGCTGTTGTTGTTGAGGATATGCGTGCTGGTGTGGCATTTATTTACGTCACAATCTCGCTTCCGCTGTGCAGCAACTGCAACACTGCAGCTAACTCGATTTGCCGTCTCTCTTTAGACGGCTGCGTGATTTTCTAACATTTCCCCGCCGTTTTCCATGCTCATAAAAGTTTTTAATGCAATTTCCCTAATCAGATTTAAAGCGACTGCAGCAGAGTCAAGGCTCGAATATCGTCTGCCGATATGTGAACCATGAAATTGAATTTCAATTAGAGATTTTTGTTTTCCGTATTTCATGTCAAATCGTTTAAAACATTTTTCAACTGCATTTGATTTAATATGTTCCCATTATTTTAACAATTTGCTGCAGATTAATCAAATTCGTCCCATTAGCTTTTGGTATAAATTCGAACTTTCCGCTTGATTTTTTGCTAGCTACTGTGGTCTTCCTGCCCCCACCCCTGCCTGCCCCTTTTCAGGTCCTTCAAAGTTTGACATGTCAATGCCGTATGTGGTGGTGTGTGTGTGTGTGTATGCATGCACACATGTACACATGTGTGTATATGTACATATTTACAACAATTGTCAAAATCACATTCAAAATCAATGTTAAGACCTTGCAACCTTCATCGGGGCTTTAGCATTCAACTTTATTTGGGCTTTTGCGATTCGATTTTTCGATGGGAAAACAAAAGTTGAACGCCTGGAACTATGCAACGAATACTTTTAGAGTGCACCGCCCACACCCTTGGGCACGTGAAAGCCGAGGGCAATCAACCAACATGCAAACAAGGCCCTCACCTGGCTGCCTAGCGACAATTAAGGTCGTCCCGCCCCAAATGGAGCTGCTGGTTTCTGGTTCCGCCTCCTCTGTGAGCCGTTGTCATTGTTGTCACTGTGTCGTACATGTTTTGACTGCTTTATTTAAATAACTGTCACGCGATGGCTATGTAGTAAAATTTGATGCCCAAATCGAACTTGACCAGGCCGCATTAGGGCAGACCATTTTTGTTTTTCTAACTGATTTTCGACTAAATGCAAAACTCACGTGTCAACTCTATAACGCATTTGCCATAATTGAAGTGCTTCACGCGATTCACTTTTAACGTTCAATGTTTGTTGTCCTGTTTAGCTCCCCTGTTGTCCTGAGGCCCATCCCACATACATATATGTATGCAGAGCTTAACCATTTCCATAAGCCCAGTCCCAACGGCAGCTGCTCAAACATCCATTGCCCATTTGGCACCCGCAGATTGCATGGTCATTAGTGCCAGCATTAGGTTTTTCCTCTTTTTTTGTTTTATTCTTTTTTTTTTACATTACCCAGATAAAAGAGGCAGGCACACATTTATCATAGATCCTGTAAATAAAAATTCAGAGTTGGATTCATGAAGTTCATTTAGCGAAAACACGATCTAAGGGCTAAAGAGATTTAATTTAGTAGACAAGGAAAGGGAAAGAGCAAACGTATTAGCTAAATATACTTAAATTAATATTTAAAATATTAAAATATTGTACATTGAACAAATGGCATTCTATATTACCAAAATCATTTCAATTATCATCTCTTCATATGTAAATATTTGGAATAATACAAGTGAGTGCATTGCAAATTCGTCTTGGCGCATTTTGATTAGCCTTTACAGCTTTTATTGTACTTTATTTGTGTCTACGTTTTGTTCTTGTATTCACTGGCAATCGTGCTGCGCCCCATTCGCTGTGGCATAGATGATAATGATGTACGCATCCCATTGGCACGCCTCGCACTGCGGAAGGGACGGTGTACCCGACCTACACTACAGCCAGTGGCCATATGTTCTGTGTACAGTGACTCTCGGAGTCATCGCCTGTCGAGCGACCTCAATCATAATTCCGTTTAATTGCTTCGTAATTATGCCGCGCACATGCTTTTCTCGATTCGCCCGCAGTTGCTTGCTGTTAATTCACTTTCACTTTCTCGTGCTCCTCTGAGAGTAACATTCTCTTTTGCTCTTGCTCAGAGACAGACACACACACACACGCACGCACAGCGAGCAGACACGCACGCAGAAAGCGTGCGGGCTGAGTGACCAGGCAGTAGACCAGGGCTAACCGATTGTCAGCCCAACTGGTCGGCCATTTTGGTATATTATTATTTGTCTCCTTTGTTTTGCGCAATTTTTCGTTATTTGCTTCATTTTCTGTCATTAGAAGCATTTAACTTTTTGCCGTTTGCTGCCGATTTGTTTCCATTATTCATGCGGCTGCCATTCGAGCTTTGCCATTCACCAAGTTGGCCATGTGGCTAGGCCAGCAGAAATAGAACAACAACAACAAGAATTATCCTACGATTATGGCTTTTATGAAGTGTCCTAGTGCAAACAGTAGCCCAACAAGCCTAGGGTAAATAATTTCATTTTACTTATTTCTCGTTCTTTTGCTTGTTTCTCTGTTGTTATTTTTCACCGCGGCACTTGGGCAATTACTTGCATACATGCATAAAAAATGAAGGAACTATTATAATAATCGATTGTGGACGTAGGCTACTCGTATAGCCAATTACCGAGGACTTTAATAAACACATCGACAAATACTAATCGCATAGCTCAGCTGCAGCCAACTTAACGTGTGTAGTTGCTTCCGAATGTCTCCTCTAGTTTTGTCTATGTATGTATTTATGTATATATAGATGTACATATGTCTGCTCGGCTTGGCAATGTATACGTCACTTCAAGTTTGTAAAACGAGCTTGCGTAATTTGTAGCTAAAGTCTAGCTAAAAAGCGTATCAATGTATGTCAATGGGTTGTTGCTTTCAATTGAAGAAGTTGCTACCATGCAGGCAGTGTCTGGCTACCTCAGCATGTAACAGAGCGAGGGAGAGAGAGAGAGAGTGTGTGTGTGTGTGTGTGTGTGTGTCAGAGCTATATGGAGATGGATGGGAGTGCTTGCATGGTCTCATGTCATGCCAAAGTCATTTAGATATATCGCACACACATTTTTAATGACAACTAAATGCGAATGTCATTTGGTTTTGCAAATGGCGAGTGAACTGCCAAAGGCCCACTCTCTCTCTCTTTCTCTCTGTCTCTCTCTCTCTCTCTCTCTGTGTCGTTCACGGCTGCTTAGTAAATTGCATACAGCAGCGCCACAATGTGGGCGAAATGGGCGTGGTCTTGTCATCAGCGCGTCAGAACGAGGCACAAGTTTGTCTAATACGCAAACTTTTAATTGAGTTTAAATTTGTATGAGCGAAGCAAATCAAGAAAGAGGCTGGCGCTACCTCCACCTCCTGCTTCCCTCGGCACCCCCTGGCAGCCATCAATTGCGACCATATTTATGCAACAGCATGCTATGAAGAATGTATGAGTGCCCAAATATCAATGTGCGTGTGTGTGTGAGCGTGTGAATGTGTGTGAGTGTGCGTGTGTACGCAATTTTTGAAGTGTGTCGGTTTCAATCCTGGCAAATTGCCCATGAAATATTAAATTTACCATAATGAGACGCCATTTTTATACCTCGTAATTTGCCAATGTTGATGTGTGTGTGTGTGTGTGTGTGTGTGATGTATGTGTGATTTTGTGCTTATTAGCATGCCCACAAAATGGGCGTTACCAGAGAATAGCCCGCCAACAAGTAAAAGATAATACACTTATGCACATTTGTGAGCAGGGGCAGCCCATACATTGAGGTTTGACTGTGGCTAACTTACCTTTACCTTTTAGCAGCCATCATGAAATTATATGCCTTTTTATGACCACAGCAGCTCGTTTTATGGTCATACTACAGCATCTTCTTATAAAGTGTGTGCTGCGAAAAACTTCCAACAGTTGCGTGCCACTGAAAGACCGCATATGAATATTAAAGTGCAAACTGCGTTTGAGCATAGTTTAAAAGTCTTGCAATCACAATTTATATTAACTATGTATGTATATATTTACGAAAGCCCATAGATTTGCTAATTTACTAATCGAATTTGCAATACACAAATTGTTTTTGTTAAGCAGCTGTTAACCGGTTAACCGCTTCTGCTCATGCCGGAATGACTGTGAGTAAACATTAAGTTGGCTGCGCTTGACTTGTCGCTAACATAACTTGTTGCGGCAATAGTAAATTTACGTTTGACTAAGATTTAAGCAAACAAGACGTTGGAAAACTTTACTGAAATACATCTTAAAAGTTGTATGTATTAGTTTTTTGTCATGCATACAAATGTAAAAATATATGTATATGTACATATGACATGTATATATGTATATACACATATGTATATATGTATAAGCCATTCATGGATATTACAATGCTAATTTGCTACAGTGGAAAATTTGTACAAGCTTCGAAAATGTGACATATTGAGGACATAAATAAACACCTTAACCCTACACATAGTAAATACATAAATATATACATACATACATATGTACATACATACATGTGCTTGTCCTAGTGTCCATTAATTTTCAGTTCGAAATGAAAAATGAGTCAATTTGCAGTGGCTTGCTCTTTTACCTGGGGCCCAGTCACATGACTTTAGATTTTAATAAGAAATAATTTCCCGTCTCGGATAGTTTTACTCGAAGTGACTTTGCTTATAAAATGTCTTGCAATTCCGCATCGACAAATGACTTTCGGCTTCGCGGCACGTACGCTGGTCAGCAACACCAGCAAATAACAACAACGCGCCTCTAGAACAGTAAGAAGGAATGAAGGAAAAAACCAACCACTACAACAACAAGAAACACAAATAAATAAAACGAGGAGGCAAAACTGCACGATGCGCGTTTAATGTCATTTAAAGCTGCAATTACTCAGCACGCTTGCTTGTATTGTCCGCGCAACCACCGCACGGAACCGAACGGAACGGAACAAAAAAGAACAGAACAGAACAGAGCGAGCGGAGCGCAAACATAAAGCCACAGACAGTTACACACAGGCACAGGCACAGGCAGAGGCAAAGGCATATTCACAGTTGACACACACATACGCACACAGCCACACTCACTCAGGCACACAGAGACTGACAGTCACACAGTTGCAGTTACAAGCCTGCTTCCAAAACTCCACTTGACTCCATTCGCTTTAATGTCATTGTATGGCCGCAATTATTTTGCATGTGGCATTGTCGCTGCATGCGATGCCTATGCAAATATACCTACCGTATACTGGGTAGGCGACTCCTTCCGGTGCCATAAATCGGCCGTCTCGTGACGGTCTTATATTCTATAATTAAGTAGAAGGCGCAGAGAAATTAGAAAAGTGTCCAAACACGTACGACGTGGTCTTAGCATTACGTGCCAACGGGTACTTTCAACTGTAAAATTTAAATAACTTTGTTTGCGGTAAGTGATCAATTAAAAATATATTACTAATTATTTCTAACTGGCTAGTAAACGACCACATACATATTATTAAGCAATTACAACCAAATTATTTATAAACGCATCGTTAAAAATAATCAAAAGGTTTTGTAAAAAAGTTCTTACACGGGCTCAACCGGGATTTGAACCCGGGACCTCTCGCACCCAAAGCGAGAATCATACCCCTAGACCATTGAGCCATCTGTCTAGCGCAATCACAAACAATGCACATAAAATGCTTACAGCGACGTGGCACAACTTTCGGTTAATATAACATTGAGCTTCCAAACGTTAGCAATACAAATCATATGTTTCAAAATATCGATAACTTGTCTGTTTTGTTAAAATCCGCTTTTATTGCAATTAATGAGTTTGTAATTTATATTTTCAATGCTGATTGCATTGCGTTTTATAATTTATGTATGTGAATGAATGTTAGTAGTGAAATCAACTGTGTCGTTGCTCGATGGCGTTGCAGCCAATCGATTAACTTATTTAAGTGTATCGCGTTTTTTGCCCGATAAATATCAAGTGATTGTGATTCTCCCGCCAAAATTGCACGCCGATTTCGCACAGCTGCCGCAGCAGTAACAACTGAAGCACAACAATCTCTACGCGCAAATTGAAGGAATAGACATTAATTAATTTATAGATAAAACGCCCAGATTGCAGCTATGGTAAGTTGCTCTAGTAATAGAATGTTTGTAATACTTACAATGCCTGGTTGTAGGATAATCCCAGTTCACAGCCTCCAAATACGCCCAGCGACGTGATCGAGCGTCGCGATTCGCGAGCTGCGATGACTTCTCCAGTTGGCGACTTCGAGCCTTTCGAGAATGAGGATGAAATTCTTGGCGATCAAACAGTGCGGGATGAGGAGGAAGAAGATGGCGAGGAGCTGTTTGGCGACAACATGGAGAACGGTATGCACCCATCAATTGTTAGAAATGTCAGATTGTTTGTTGATGAATAAATTCCATTTGTAGATTATCGCGAGATGCCTGAGCTGGATCACTATGATCCTGCCATGCTGGATGATGAGGAGGACTTCTCCGAAATGTCGCAGAGCGAACGCTTTGCAGCCGAATCGGAAATGCGTCGTCGGGATCGCGCCGCCGGCATTCACCGAGATGATCGTGATTTGGGCTTTGGTCAGTCAGACGACGAAGATGATGTGGGACCACGTGCCAAGCGACGTGCGGGCGAAAAGGCAGCCGTCGGCGAGGTCGAAGACGCAGAAATGATCGAATCCATAGAGAACCTGGAGGACACCAAGGGACACTCCACCAAGGAGTGGGTGAGCATGCTGGGCCCGCGCACCGAAATCGCGAATCGCTTCCAATCTTTCCTGCGCACCTTCGTTGATCGTGGCGCCTATACCTATCGCGATCGCATTCGCCGCATGTGCGAACAGAACAAATCCTCGTTCGTGGTGTCCTACACGGATTTGGCTAACAAGGAGCACGTGCTGGCCTACTTTCTGCCGGAAGCACCCTTCCAAATGCTTGAGATCTTCGACAAAGTGGCCAAGGACATGGTTCTCTCCATTTTCCCCACCTACGAGCGCGTAACCACAGAGATTCATGTGCGTATTTCGGAGCTGCCGCTGATCGAGGAGCTGCGCACCTTCCGTAAGCTGCATCTGAATCAGCTCGTTCGCACCTTGGGCGTAGTTACAGCCACAACGGGCGTCCTTCCCCAGCTCTCAGTGATCAAGTACGATTGCGTTAAGTGCGGCTATGTGCTGGGTCCATTTGTGCAGTCGCAGAACACGGAGGTGAAGCCGGGTTCCTGTCCCGAGTGTCAGAGCACGGGTCCCTTCTCCATTAACATGGAGCAAACGCTGTATCGCAACTATCAGAAGATAACGCTGCAGGAGTCGCCGGGTCGCATACCCGCCGGTCGCATACCACGCAGCAAGGATGTCATCCTGCTCGCGGATCTGTGCGATCAGTGCAAACCAGGCGATGAGCTGGAGGTCACGGGCATCTATACGAACAACTATGACGGCTCGCTGAACACGGATCAGGGCTTCCCTGTATTTGCAACGGTCATCATAGCCAACCATGTGGTGGTCAAGGACTCCAAACAGGTGGTGCAGTCGCTGACGGATGAGGACATTGCCACCATCCAGAAGCTGAGCAAAGATCCACGCATTGCCGATCGCATAGTAGCTTCGATGGCGCCGTCCATTTACGGCCACGAATATATCAAGCGTGCTCTGGCCTTGGCTCTCTTCGGTGGTGAGTCCAAGAATCCGGGCGAGAAGCACAAGGTGCGTGGCGACATCAACATGCTCATCTGCGGTGATCCAGGCACGGCCAAGTCGCAATTCTTGAAGTACACAGAGAAGATAGCACCGCGTGCCGTATTCACCACCGGCCAGGGAGCCAGCGCAGTGGGCTTGACCGCCTACGTGCGTCGCAATCCCGTGTCCAAGGAGTGGACTTTGGAGGCGGGCGCATTGGTGCTGGCCGACCAGGGCGTCTGTCTAATAGATGAGTTCGACAAGATGAACGACCAGGATCGTACCTCCATACACGAGGCCATGGAGCAGCAATCGATATCCATATCAAAGGCTGGCATTGTCACGTCGCTTCAGGCACGTTGTACGGTGATCGCTGCCTCTAATCCCATTGGCGGTCGCTATGATCCCTCGATGACCTTTTCGGAAAATGTGAATCTCTCGGAGCCGATTCTGTCCCGTTTCGACATATTGTGTGTGGTCAAGGACGAGTTTGATCCCATGCAGGACCAGCAGCTAGCTAAGTTTGTAGTGCACTCACACATGAAGCACCATCCCAGCGAGGAGGAGCCGCCTGAGCTGGAGGAGCCGCAGCTGAAGAATGTGGAGGAGATACCACAGGATTTGCTGCGCCAATACATTGTCTATGCCAAGGAGAATATCCGACCCAAACTAACTGTGAGTCCACATACAATATTTAGACTGGAATATCTCACTAGCCTAATTATAATTATCTTTCATCTAGAACATTGATGAGGACAAGATTGCCAAGATGTACTCGCAGCTGCGACAGGAATCCTTCGCCACAGGCTCGCTGCCCATTACGGTGCGTCACATTGAGAGCGTCATCCGCATGTCGGAGGCGCATGCCCGCCTGCATCTGCGCGAGAATGTGATGGAGGCAGACGTTAGCATGGCCATACGCATGATGCTCGAGAGTTTCATCGAGGCGCAGAAGTTCAGCGTGATGAAGAAGATGCGCACCACATTCCAGAAGTATTTGGCCTTCCAGAAGGATCACTCGGAGCTGCTCTTCTTCATCTTGCGCCAACTGACGCTCGATCAGCTGGCCTACATACGCTGCAAGGACGGGCCCAGTGCCACGCACGTGGAGATCATGGAGCGCGATCTGCTGGAGCGAGCCAAGCAGCTGGACATTACCAATCTGAAATCATTCTACGACTCGGAACTGTTTCGCTCCAATGGCTTCTCCTACGATCCCAAGCGGCGTACAATTCTACAGATTGTGGTCGATGGCGCCGCCTAAAGTACGGCTGGATCTAGACCTATGCGAAGAGTTTACCTGAACACATTTACGTTTTTCATCTCATTTAGTATTAGAGGCGCCCAAGTTTTGTTTACCGTTTAGCATTGTCATGTCATACTATGTCCAATAAAAAGCTGTTTATGAAAGTGAGTTCTAAGGGTTCGATAATGTTTAATTAGGATTATCAAAATATATGTAGTCAAGGTTGGGATTATCTACCAATCACGTTCTGCACTCCGTACAGCGATTTCTCCCAACAGCACCGGCTCTAGCTCGTCCTTAAATTCACTAGGAAAATCGACATCATTTATCATGTCATCATAGGTCATTTCTAGATCTTCCAAGGTGAAATCTTCATCTTCTTCATCCGTACATCCATTCAAATCGCCACAAGCAATAAATGGGACCAGACGCTGATTGATCGCTGAGCCCGTTAGGCGGGCTACTTGTCGAAAATCATCCCGTGCCGGATTTATGACTTGTGGAATATAGCCAGGCGGCAGCCGGAAGTCACAGCACACGACGAACGCCTCATTGCTCGATGGTCGCGAGCTCGGCGGCTTGTAGATTTGGAAGTTATTAAAGAATGAGAGTAATCTTGATTCGAGCATGCAGTTGGCATTGCCCTTGAATATCTTTGCCACGAATTTGCCGCCTGATTCCAGCACAAAGGTGGCAATGCTCAGAGCCGAGATTATCAGCTGGCTCTGCATATATTCATCCATTTCGTGGACGCCGGTCACATCCGGTGCCCCATCGCAGACGACCAGCTGCGCCTTCTTGTCATCGCCATAATTAAAGTGCGAAATTATCGCTTTTGCTGTACTCTGCTTGGTTATGTCGCCCTGCAGCTGGACAACTCCACGGATTGGCGCCATCGCTTGCAGATCAACTGCGACGATTTTCACTTCCGACTTCTGGTCGTCGGTCAGGCAGCAGTCGTAGAGCTTGCGCGAGAGCACCTGGGACCAGCTGCCGGGTGCAGCGCACAGATCAACCGCTCGTTGCACATCTGTAAAAAACTTATGCCTGACTGACTGATTCTCCATCATAGTAAACAAATATCAAACAGCCTACTGTCCAAAACGCCGAATTGATCGTTGATGTGCATCAATTTGAATGCACTGCGTGCTCGCCAGCCCTCCTCTTTGGCCTGACGATAGTAAACGTCCCGTTTATCCTTCGACGTTTTTCCCATCGACCCGCCGTTTTGTGGAACCGTAAAATCCACTCAAGTTAAGTATAAAAATATATTTAATTAAGCTGTGTTACCAAAACACAAACTGGAAGAGTCTCTTCACTCTGTTATCGATTAATCCACGTGCTCGATACATAATCGATAAGCTGCGATTGATAACTGCCGATAAGCCGGGAAAGCGGAAATTCAAAGAACAAAATATAAATATAAATAGGCATTGAATCAATTGTCTCATTCAAATTTTTAGATACTCCTAAAATTTATGTCTATGCTACAAATGTCAGCTAATATATCGACGCTCAACGCTGGCAGCAACAATTGAATACCACCGGTTTCTATCGATAGAAATATACTGCAAATCATATGGGCTGCAGTTTAATGACTTGTTAACGAAATTCGGACGTAAGTAATTACTAGAACCATCCCTCGAAAAACTTCTATAAGAACATTGCCTTTTCAGACAAAAACAAACAGAACCCATATTAACGAAGATGCATTTAAGATTAAGCTATTTATTAATCGTTCTGGTCAGCTTCTTTGCAAGTGGTTGGACCTTCTTGGAACATGATAGCTGGATAAATATTGATTTGTACCATGCGCTGACGCCTGCCAGGCCAGAGCATTTTTCGCATCGCGGTAATATCTCCATACCAAGTCTGAATGCGGGACTGTCGACAATTGTGCAAAATCCATTAACGGACAATGAGCTTGAAGGCCTAAAGGTTCTGGCACGCCAGAATGGATTCTATCGCCTGAGGGCAACGGTCACATATCCCAATGGCAGTAGCCAGCGCTTCCTGACCTCCAGCAAAGCGTGCAGTTTGCTGCTGGCCCAGTTCAATGATGTTCTATGGGTATCACTAGATCCCAATGGCTATGTGACGGGCATCACTACCTCCCAGGATCCCGCACCAAAGATCTCAGAATGCACCGCCGAGAATACGCAGCAAATCAACGAGAAAAACTTCCGCTCTGATGTTATCCTTCGACATGCCGAACTGGCACCGGTTCCGGACACTGGCAGCTTTATACAGAAGTTCGAGCGTGAGCGTGAAGCCAGAGAGCGCGGCGAGGTGCGCGACAATAGGGGCTTCTTTGCTAAATACTGGATGTATATTGTGCCTGTAGTCCTATTGGTATTTATTTCTGGAGCAACCAATCAGGATGCTGCCAAATAAGCATTAGTAAAAGTAAATTAGTAAAAATCGTAGTTCTTTTGATTGGAAATAAAGGAAATAACACAATTATGCTCAACCACACACATACATATGTATGTATGTCTTTGAACAGCTAGACTAAACTTTCTTTTATCTTTCTGCATTGCTGCTTAGGCATATTTGTGTGTATGTACATAAATACTTTCATTTAAGAGAGCGAGTACAAAAAGAGAGGGCGTGCAGTCATCTTATAGCAGTAGCTAAGGGTTTCTGTACATGCATTAAATTAAGATAAAAATTAAGCAAACACATTTACATACGCTGTAGAATTAAGAGATAGCGCTCATCTCTCTCGATCGTACTGATTAGTAGTGATACTCGATTCGAGGAAAGGCATTGGAGTTGACTATCGTCACTTGACGCTCACCAAGAGTGGTGGTGTAGTTGAGCAAGTACAAAGAGTTCTGTGTGAGAGAGTGTATGTGTGGCACGAGCAAGTACACTAAACTATCGTCGTTCATACAAACTATTTCTAGTTTATTGTTTGTACACTTAATTAGTTACATTAAACTATACATCTTCCTAGTCGTCAACACCATCAATGCCCATGGCCTTGTCATAGTCCTCGTCGGTGATTTTCTTCTTTTTGAGCCGCTTATATAAACGAATATCGCTGGCCAGTTCTTCCAGGTCCTCCTGTGTGTATTGCTGCTTGCGTTTGCGCTGTGCCCCACCCTCGGCTGCTGCCGCTTCGCGCTTGCGCTGCTTCTTCGCCTTTCTCAACTCCTTCTTCGACTTGGCATCCAGCTTGGCCTTCTTGGTCTGATCCCAGGATTCGGTGCGTTTCATGTGTTGCTTCTGGCGTCCTGGCCAAGTGCCCGTCTGCTCGAACGTCTGCAGCTTCTGCTTGCGCACCTGCTCCTTCTGCGCATTCTTGTAGGTGAGCTTGGTGAGATCGACTTCGAAGCTGGGCGCAATGTATCCATTGCCCTGGTAGTTCTTCAGCTCTGGCATGCGCGGCAGCTGCAGCAGTCCATACGCCGTGGCCATTTTGCCCAGATCCAGATCCTTCAGCCGCAATATAGCGCTGCACTCGTGCTTGGTGTAGGCTCGTACATGGGAGACAAAGGCTCGCATGCCTTTGTCGTAGGCCCCTTTATCAGCAGCCTGCAGTTGATGCAGTTTCTCCACCGTTGACCTCAGCTCAGCCTCGTTTGCTTCAATGCATTCCTCTTGCAGTTCGCTCAAGTCAACTTTCTGATTGAGCTTTAGGAACTGGATATATGCATCCTCGGTTGGCAGCAGGAATACCAAAGCGTTTCCCTCGTTGCCTTGCCGAGCGGTGCGTCCCACACGATGCACGAAACTCGAAGCATTGGACGGAGGATCCCATTGCACCACCCACTCGATTTCCGGCACATCTAGACCACGGGCCAAAACATCCGTGCACAGCAACACCGAGTTTGCCTCGGTGCGGAAACGCTCCACTACATTCGCTCGCTTGTTCTTCATCTTGCCGTGGATGCCCAGGACCTGGCGATCGGGCAGAAACGACGGCAGCATCTCTGCCCAGTACTCGACGCAAGCGCAGGTGGGAAAGAAGACCATAACTTTGCCGGTCTTGGAGGTGGGCGAGCGTAGGAACTGCAGCAGCGAGAGAAACTTTTGTTCCGGCTCCACAATCTTGTAAAAATTCTGTAGACGCGCTGGGGTATTAACGGAAGCCTTCTCCTTGACGGAGACCAGCACAGGATTACGAAGGCCGGCACGTATCAGGTCAGTTACCTCGGTGGTCTGTGTGGCTGAGAAGAGACCAGTGCGTCGCTGGCGAGGCAGATAGCCTAAGATGTTGTTGACACTCGTCTTGAAGCCCAAATCGAGCAGGCGATCCGCCTCGTCAAGCACGAGGAATTCCAAGCTCTTCACACGCGAAGCCAAATTGAGGTCGTCGCCTTTGCGCTGAAACAGATCCTCTAGACGTCCAGGCGTGCACACCAGTATACATGGTGATTGCTGCTTCAGAGCGGCGATGTCCTCCTCAATGCTATTGCCGCCGACGATGAGCTGTTGATTCAGGTGCTCCAGTTGCTCGTGTGCCAGGAACTGGGCAAGTACCTCGGATATCTGTCGCGCCAACTCACGTGTGGGCGATATGATCAGTGCACCAATCTCCTTTGCTGTCCAGGGCGTCTCATTGTGGCGACGCTGCAGAATCTCTAGCATAGGCACGAGGAACGCCAGCGTTTTGCCACTGCCCGTAACAGCTTCGGCGGAGACATCCTTGCGTGCCAACAGCAATGGAATCGATGCCGTTTGCACAGGTGTCATTAGATCAAAGCCAAACCCCTGCAGCACCTCGAGGACGGGCTGTGAAAGCGGCGGCTTGTCCAAGGATTTCCATGTTTTGCGTGACATTTTTGTAAACAAACACACGTGCTGCGTGGTTGCCACCTGACTAATACAGCTTATAGCTATTGAGCAGAGCTATCGATAAGTATCGAAAAAGTGAAAACAGCTGACACAAACGCAAATTTGAGTTGCGCATTTGCCGCTAAATTCAAATTGACAAAAATAGAAGATGAAATCGCCACATTCATACATTAGTTAAACTGGTGTAATAACACATTAAAAAACACGCCATATTTCGAGCATTTAATATTTAATTTAAAATACTGTAAAATATATATGCAATTATATAAGTAAATACACATTTAAATAGAATTTCATTAGACACTAAATACAGCTTGCCATTTCCTGGTTTATATCGCGTATTAGACACTCGCTTAACTAATTGAAAAAAATGCTCATACACATGGAATACCGATGCAAAGGTATGCAAAATGTATGCGTGGCCCCCACATGCAGCTGGGCGATGAAAACGAAATCCATTCGCAATTGAAATGTATACATCTATACGTACATATATAATAAAAGATCTGTTGACATTTATAAATTTATGTTTTATCTTTTATAGCCATCGATTTTTGGACGTAGTTCTTATCAAAAGTTATGCAAAAATATTTATGGAATTTCGTTTAGACTGCTAATTTGGATTTGCCAAACGGTGTTGGTTATTCTTTCCTTTATCTTATTTCCTTTTCCCAATGGTTTCTATCCTTTCGTTACGTTCACAATTTTGTTTTAACTGTGATCTCGATTTAAATGCCAGCTCCATTCGGCTTAGCACCCAGGTTCTTGTACGGCTTGCCCCCATTGCGTTCCCACTCGCGATTGAATTCGTGCTCCAGAATTTCAGCGCCTCGTTTGCGTGTCAGTCCGGTCTCTTCGAGGCTCAGTTCGCACATTTGCATATCATCTGTGCCGGCAACGAGCAGGATTGGCGGCTTGTCCGCATGCAGCTCCATTTGCCGAGCAATCCACTGACCATCAAAGTGCGCATACCACAAGCCGCGCTTGGCTATAGCAGAGAGGGAGAGAGAGATTAATAAAATATACTTAAAGAACTCCTTAGCACTTACTATTATCGGGCGCATTGGCTCTCATGAAGGGTATGCGGAAATAGCGATGCTGTGCTGACACGATCTCCTGTATGGGCTGCACAATAGGCGGTTGCTTAAAGGCTGTGAATATATACACAATGAATTTATCAAATATATTTAAATATTTTTATTTTAAGCAATTCAACACCACAAGGCCGAAAACAGTCTAATATAACTCGCTATAATCTATCTCTATAATTGGGTAAGGATACTTTAGGATATGTGATCGATAGACTGTAAAGGTATAGGAAAGGAATCTATATGTATCTAATTAAATCTTTGTCAGTTAGACTATAACGTTATTTAATACTACTCGACTATTTATTTTTCAATCCAACAGTCGATAGATAATGATTTTAGAGGGATTCAAATAAGTACTAGTACTTTAAGAAACTATAAAAGACATTTTGCTATACTCGGACTGTAAGGCCTTCGTTTGATCATGAGCTAATGTCTGTAATCATATGTTTGACACCTACCGGCCTCCATGACGCTGCGTGGTGCACGCTCATTCTCGTCCATGGTGGTGCGTTTGCGGTTCTTTGCCTTCCAGGCGTGATAGACCTTCAAGCGACGATGGAACTCCTGTCGACAGGCCTGCAATGGATTACAAGAGTAATTAATTTGAATGGCATGTACAATTAGGCACGCTCTGCTCATTACCTCAAGCAATTCAATATCACAGGACGTGTTGATAGCATCGCGTAGTTCCGAGTATTTCCACTTGGATAAGTCGTACTTCTGCTTGCCAAGCGCTTGCTGTTGTGCGCGCACGTTCTCCGATCTGGGAACGTAACAGATTTATTAATGTTCTATAATTTTGTTTATATATATTAATGGAAAGCATGGAAAAAATCAAAGTGAGCTATAGATGGATTTCAATGCTTATTTTTGTTTACAAAAGAGTTTATAAGAAATGTTAAAAAGTTCTACAACTGAAGCCAATAAATATATCACAAATATTACAATTTAATTAGTATGAATGATACTTTATATAGTGTTAGTTATTTGTTTAGTTGTTATAAAAGTTGTCAAAAACCAGCACCAACTCACTTATTCAAATATCGCGAAGCAATGTTTGACACAACTTGTGAAAAACTTGTTCATCAAATATAAATAGTATATATAGAAAAGTAAAGCAGAAGGTAAAAGATATTTTGTTTTTGTTGTTTACAATCCAATTAGTTATTGAGTAAAAGCAGTAGAAAGCAAGAGAACATTTTTTAATTTGATACAACAATAAAATGAAAGTAAATTATAAAGTGTGCTATACCTGATCAGTTTGTTGGAACCCACGGGAGACGCGTCACTCAGACCACCACTGTGTTTGTTTTGTTGGTTGTGTGTGTTGGGGTGTGGTTGGTGTACAAGAAGTAGGCGTGTAAGGGGGGAACGGGAGAAAGTTTGGTGAGTCTTTATCAAATATACATATACATAAACATATGGATATAGATATAGATATAGATATAGATACATAATAATTATAATAAATAGCCTAGCTCATATATACAAACAAGATTTTCAATTCACATTCTCACACTCTTTAAAAAGGCTTTCTCACTCGCCTTTCTCTCCTATACAATTCTCTCTTGACCTGCACCATGTCTACAAGTGCCTAATCCATTATATATATGCTATACACATATATATCTATTCTTTTTGGGCTTGCAAACACATACTTGCGTATGACGGGAGGACTATCCTCCACCTGGCCATTGGATTCGTTAGCCAAGCGCAGCGCCAATTCGTGATCGCGTCGCTCCTGCTCGAGCTGCTGTCGATACTTGGCATCATCCTTGGCCTCTTTCTCCAGCTGCGCCTGCAGCACTAAGGCGGCACGTCGATCCTCTTCCTCCTGGCGCATACGTTGAGCTTCGGCCAGCTTGCGTCTGGTTTCCATTTCGACTTTGCTATAGATTAAAGTAAATGCCAAATAATTTGTGTTGTTATTAGTAAATGAATAAGTACTAACAGTCGCTTGTTTTCGGCATCCTCGCGCAAACGTTGCTCCTCCGCCTCTCTGGCACGACGTTCCGCTTCGAGAGCTTCTTGTATCTTGCGCAGTCGCTCCTGCTCCTCCGCCTGCTGTTGCTCCTTCAACTTGTTATTCAGATCAACTGTCAGCTTATTCATGTTGGCCATGATCACCGTGTACATGGAGTCAATTTCGCGCTGGGTAATTCTCGGAGTTAGCTGGGGATAGAGAGAAAGACAAACAGTAGGTCAGCAAACACATGATGCATGAGCAATATGGAATCACAGGGAACTCACCTTGATCTTCATAATGGCATCATCGATCTGCTTGTATATATCATTAACACCGCCGACAATTTCGTCGCGTCCCAACTTCAGCCCGCTGGCAATTTCGATGGTCTTCAAGGTGTTGGTCCGAATCTTGTTGATCTTGGCAATGCCTTGGTAGCGTGGACGATGTTGCTTGCGCGCCAGAAAGCCGCGTGCGATTCGCTGGGCCGTCAGTACGCACTTGTTGCGGAAGATGATGCGATTGCGCACTAAACGGAAACATGTGTCAATTGAAGAAAACATCTCTGGAGGGCAAATGACTTACGTTTAATGACGCAAAGTGCGCCCAGCGCTGACTTGACCCAGCGAGAGCGTACCAGCCACTTCTTCACCTTGGCCACAATGGCCAGCATATTCTCCGGATCAGATCTCATGATGCGATCGAATTCCACAAATTTACCGGGCCTAAAAAAGACCTTTGTGATGCCGAACTTAAAGTCCTTGGCGCTCAGGTTGAGCGACTGGAACATGGCCTCGCAAAAGGTGCGCGCTGGCAGGGAAACCAGCTCCGGCGGCAGCACAGACTTGTACATGCTATAGAGATCGGCGAAGAGCACACGCGACGGGAAGCCATGCTCCATCAGCTCGAGAACGGATATGGTACCGGAGCACTTGAGCTGTGCCAGCGCCAAGCAGCCCTCGAATTGGCGATCAACCATTTTGCTGTTGGGCTTGATGCAGCGTATGAAATTGGTGCCCTGAGATGTACAATAAATAAATAAGATGCATTTTTGCTAGGCTTTTCGGTTTCGCCACTTACATTCTGCTCGAGCTTTTCCATGAGCTCGCCCAGCTGCGTCTTGAACTTGGAGCCAACGGAGATAAAGTTTAGTTTGCCACGCACGGAGGTGTTGCTGCCGGATGGAAAGAGCAGCTTGAGGAGCGGATTCTCGCACTCCTGCACCAGGCACTCGAGCGATGCGTGCAACGCATCATTGTTCTTCTCAATGAACTGTTCCGTATTGTAGCAGACGGCGCCAGCGAAATGACGCACGAGGAAGCCCTCCTCGTCGCGCAGCGTGCGATGCGCCTTGAGGCGCGATGAGCGTGGAAGACCCAGGCGATAATGATTCGCCCACGACTTGTGCACCTCGGCAGTGAAATGAGCAGGCGACGACTTGGGCAACTTGGACTCCTCGTCCAGCAGTGTAAAGATGCCATTCGACTTCGCCTCGATCAGCTCGATGATGTCCTGATTGTCCGTGAAGGTGATCTCAGGGACGTTGAGGCCCTCACGCTTGTACAGCTCCTGCTCGTTCTTTAGAATGTTGTCGTTGAAGAACTTCTGCAGCTTCTCGTTGCAGTAGTTGATGCAAAACTGCTCAAACGAGTTTACCGTGAAGTACTCAAAGCCCGCAATATCCAGGACGCCGATGTAAAAGTTGGAAGCCTGGAAGGGAATGCTCTGATTGATCAGAGCCACAATGCGATCGAAGAGCCGACTATAAATGGCCTTGGCCAAGGCATCTCGTGCATTGTTCGCCTCGTAGATCTTCAGAGGAACCCTGCAAATAGAGCAGAGGGTAATGGGAAACGAAACTAGGATTTCATAAACTGTAATTTACATGATAACCGTGCCCTTGAAGCCACCGCCCTTGCTCTGCATGACGCGCGACACCAGAGCCGTACGCAGCTCGGCCGGATCGACGCCCAGCAGGCGGCTTGTGATGTCCAGCGAACGCTCCGATGCCTCCGCCACTTGACAGCCGCCGCGCACATCGTCGGGTATCTCCTCGAAGTTGACGTTGCCCAAGTGCAAAACAGCCGCCACCAAGGTGTAGATGGCCATTTTATCCGTATCAGAGAGACCCAGACGACCCAGAGCCTCGTCCAGATTCTGGAAGTGCTGGTAGTCGTCGATAATGGGATCCTTGAGCGGGCCCTTCTTCTGGTGGCTCGTCGACTTTTGAGTGTCCGGAATGAGCTGCTCGGTCTTGGCATTGGCAAAGTACTGCGTGCAGCCGGAAAGATACTGCAAGAGAACAAGTTAAACGATGTGAGAAAAAATAAGAGATGAATTATCACTGCCCCATATGCTTACGCGATAGTCGTCCGGCTTGCCCAAGTTCAGCTTGTCCCGCAGCTGCTGGGGAGCGCCGGCGAGCAGCATGTAGAAGACATGATAGTTGCGCTCCTCGGCGCTCTGCGTGCAGATGCGACTCTTCTCCAGCAAATAGTGCGAGATATAGCCGCCGACCACCTGGCACTTGGCATCGTAGTGCACCTCAATGAATTTACCAAAACGCGACGAGTTGTTGTTGCGTGTGGTTTTGGCATTGCCAAAGGCCTCCAGCACGGGATTGGCTAAAATCGGATCATACACAATTATTATACATACGTATACATATATATGAGTTTCACATACCATCCAGTATTTTGGTCTCAATGGGTCCAGCGCTGTCGTGCGAGTAGCACAGATATTTCAGCAAATACTTGGTGGACTCCGTTTTGCCCGCGCCCGATTCGCCAGAGACAATAATGGACTGAGACAACTTGTAGACGCGCATATCCCGAATCGCCTTATCCGCTATTGAGGCAGAGAAGATCAAGGATTAGAATGAGACTTGATTTAATAGATGGACAGTACTCACCAATGGCAAAGACATGCGGCTGCAGCTCGCCCAACGAGCGCCCATTGTACTTCTTGATGGTATCCGGCGCATAGAGCTCCTTGATCTCACGATACGGATTGACGGCAATGAGTATGTTAGCCACATAGGTCTGTAATGGATTACGGATTATATATATATATATATATATATATATATATATGTAGATATATTTATGTATTCTTTTTAAACTACTCACATAGATCTTGTCTTTGTAGTAACGCGTTTTCAGATTGTCCAAAAATGTTGCTTCGTTGAGCAGCATAAGCTCACCTGGAATTTGGAGTAAGTAGAGTTTATTTATTGCTTTAATCTCATTTTTTTCTCAGTTAGTTCAGTTGAAAGTCAACTTTCACCCCGAGGACAGTCAAGAGGGTCGTCGGGGGTTAGGCATAAGTGCTTTACCGCTCAACTGTTTCACGCAAGCGTAGCTAACGATCATAACAACAAGAATTTTAATGCCTACGAACAGCGGTGCCATAAAGTTATACGATCTTGCCCAGAAGTAGAGCATCAAAATACAACACGTGAGATCAGTCTAGCTGTAACTTGAGCAATTACGATGAACATACCTACTACATATACATATGTATCTCAACTGATCTTCACTAAAACATACAGAAGAGTTGAAATTTCTCTGGAAAATAGTTTTTGGTTTATCTGGTTCTGCTTGGTATAGCCAGAAAAGTGACTGACTTTGCTAGACATATTTACAGAGCGTTATATACATATGTACATATCTATATATTTGTAATGTAATTAGTTTGTAATATTATCTAACTGGAATCTGTGGAGTCTCTGGATAAAGAGATAGTCAGATGAACAGCTGACGGAAATAGCAGTTTCGAATCAGTATTCGTCTATTGTATATCCAATTTTTTCTTTATATAACCACGTTCTATTCACAAACACAAGCCACACAATAGATAAAGCCGAAAAACCAACAAATAGACACGCACACACATTTATACATACATACGTACTACAGTCACATATATACAGACAACGCTCTATAGCATTTGATTTGTAATACTTACAGTTATCGTCGTGATCCTGGGGTCCATCACATGATGAGTGTATATCATCGTAGTGACACGTACGCTTGGGAAACTTGCGATCAATGGGCGTTACTTCGAACTCCTTGGTACCAATTTCAGTGATGCGACCCTGTATATAACCCTCCACGGGATCTCTCACCCAAACGAGTTGGGTGTCCTCCAACATTTTGCGCACTGCAATCAAACATGAAATGATTTAAATGATTATTAGTATGAGCAACTAACAAATAAAGCTAGTGATTTTCTATATTAATCAAAGTGGAAAATCTTATCAAACGCCGCCGACACTAACACGGTTGAACAGGTAAGAGGCGGCCAAAGAACGCTCTGACTGTGAGCCGCGTCGTCAGAGTTCACAAAAGCAACTGAGCAACCAGCACCGGTCGATCGCAGCCAGGTGAGCTGCGAGTGCTAGAGGTGAGACTATTGTAACTGAGAGTATCGTGTCACGACGAGCAGGTAGACACTTTTCTTGGGAAAGTATTAGACTGTTATAACATATTAACTATAACTAATTTCTATTTATTTTACCTATCTATATCAAAATCATTCAAAATGTATTCACAAATTGTTAAATAAATACCCAAATTTTTTACAAATTTATATCTATAATTTGTCTGAAATGTAAAAAATCACAACAAATAATATTTATTTTTATATTTATTTTAATATTTATTACATATTATAATATTTGATATAATAAATACTCTCACTGTGATGCACATAATTTAGATTATATTTACATATATACTCTATGTGTGCACTCCAATGCAGCTATCATCGCTGATCACGCGCTCATCCCCAATATGCGTTGATCATTGCTATCTCGCTCCCACCCATGCAGTCTAGCCGTATTTAGCGAATGCGAGTAACAGTCATTAAGGCCGTTTTGACGCTCTGTTGCCAGTGGCTGGCTAGCCGGGTCGGCTCGGTGTTTTATGGCAGTTCTTGTTGAGCATTTCTCAGCAATTAAACTTTACCTGTCCGTTACCGTTGATGCTTCTCACACGCTCGCTCGCTCTCTCTCTCTCTCTCTCTCTACATTTCTCTCTCTCCCCTACTACTTCTTTTGACTTTTGTTCTTCGCTCTCGCTGACGTTGTCGCCTTGTGGCAATTTCTGTTTCTTTTCCTATTTCGCTTATTTTGTTATGTTGTCTGTTTTTTTTACTGTATTTTTTCTATCTGTTTGCTAGGTTACCTTTCTTGGTCATGCGTTGACTCACGGGCGTCGTGATGTTGATAAGCACGGCTCCGCCAACCGTGTAGGTGTTGACAATCAAGAGGTAGGCAGAGAGAAAGATTCCGAGAGAGAGAGAGATGGAGAGACAGATACCCCTTTAACAATGTCGACCTTGTGCTGTTCGTACAACAATCGCAAATAAACAAATAGGTTCTGTGTATACGATTTCAAACCGCAAATCTCTCGCTTACAGCCACCCGCCCACCCTCTCTCAGCGTGTCACCCCCCCAGCAGCCCCTTGTGGGCATACAAATGGGGAGGTTCAGTTAGACAATGACGTCGGACAGCATTTCAGCAACGGCGTGAAGGTGAAATTCATTTATTTACGGTGCTGGGTTAATGGTGCATGGCTCGGTTGGTCCCTCTCGTTCCATGGGTTTCGGCTCTGGCTCGGGTCCACACACTCAATTAGAGACTGTTTTGGGTGTCTCGCATTTCAGTGGGTTTTCGGTAGAACAATGCAAATCATTTGTACACAGAAACACAAACAGTGTGAGCGAGAGAGAGAGAGCGAGTGAGAGAGGAAGCTAAGCTCTTCGCGCATAAATTAAGACACACATTTGCCAAAGTGCTAAATTATTAAATGATCGTTAAACGAGTTCTTTTGTATTTGTATTTTTCTGTTTGATGTGCAAACACAGATTGTTTAGTGTCTGAGCAACTGCTCGTGGGTGTATTTCGCAAATCCAATTGTTTCTCATTGTTGTACAAAATACCGTTTAGCTATTTAATCTATTCTGAGATTATTTTTCCTCTATTGTCATACATGGAGAGGTTTTGGCATAACATGTGCCGCATGACTCAGTGTTTGACCTATTCTATAAAGGTTCTTCACAGTTCTAGCCATGTTAAAAGCTGTTATCAAAACAATATTCGAAATGTTTGTTTCGTGCTCGTGCCAGCCGGAATGTGTCACGAATTTCATTGCCTTTTAGCACTGAGATATTATCGAGTCTTCTATACATTCCATAGATATTCAGTATTTTTTGTCTTTTCAAATTTTCAGCTTAATTGTCAAATACTCCCAGGCTGATAGCGAGTGTTAATCGGGCAGACCCATTAAATGTAATGCAATGTATCCATCACAATTAGCCCAGTTTGTACATAGAAAGTGGAGCTTGGGCTATGCATATATCTGGAAATCGCTTTATAATGTGCAAGGCAAATTAACAACAATTTTGCATGCAATTTAACATAATCTTGATTATGCAGCCAAGAGCGAGGAAAGAAAAACACAATACTTGCAATATGCAGTTTGGAATACCCTGTAATTATGTTTGTTTGATATATTTTAAGTGAAAGAAGTAAAAAACAATCTTGCAATATTCAGTTTGAGATACCCTGCAATAAGTATTAGTCATTTGGGTTGATATTTTTATAGTTTTTCGAGCATATAAAATTGCTTAACATTTAAGGATTATTTTTCTGCTGCGAGTTTTGAATACATTATAAATTGTATATATATTTGAAAGTTATCCAATCTTATTTATGCACATGTTAAGCCTATCTTAATAAAGGGTATATTCAAAGCCTTGCATTTATCAATTTGACTAAGTATATATGACAAATATATCACCAATTTGTTAAACGAACATTTGACTACAGGGTATGTATGTAGTCATCCAACCATGTCTTGACTCGCTTCTTTTGTATGCATGTCAGCAATGGCAACGATGACGCCTTGAAGTAGTCGCCTCTGTGCCCACAATTTGTCTGGCACTTGAATCTCTGCGCGCTGCTCTGCATGAGACGTTGGCATAAATTACAAATTGCAAAAAAAAAAGCAACTCATACAAACATATACAAATGAAGTTTGCAGCAAGGTGTGTGAGTGTGTGTGTGTGTGTGTGTGATGAATGCCACATTTGATGGCCGTTTATGTAGAGACGAAGCTGCCTAGCTGCATTCTGTCAGGGATTGCAATGCATAGCAAAAAAGGAAATGGGAGACAATCTGCGTGCAGGTCTCAGAAGCAGCCAAGTGTAGCCGGAGCAACAAAAAAAAAAAAAAAAAAAAAACGAGCATGATGCACAAGAAGAAGAAGTAGAAAAACATAAATGAGTTGACGATGGAGGAAGTGCTTGAGGGCGACATTGACAATGGCCAAGACAGGCGGCAAAGCTTGAAGAGAAACGTCCAAGTCATGCTGAAGCACCGTGAAAGACGGACGGCAAAGGCTTATGAAATGTGAAGCCTTTGGCCTCCGCGCACCTTAAATGAATGACACCTGCAGTCGCCGGGTCTGCACGACTGTCTAAGGCTTATTTAAACAGGGCCGAGCCGGGCTGCTTTCTTGACCGCCTCACATGCGTAATCTGAGCAGCATAAATACCATTTTGGAGCCAGCCAATTAGCCAGGTCGCGCAGACACGTCGACGTGATTTGCGGCCAGCTAATGCATAGACTAGCGACTACTGAATACGCGAATGTGTGTGTGTGTGTGAGTGTGTGTGTGTGCTTTGTTGCTTGGGGTCGGTGATATCATCGCCGCAATGCTCATCGTCTCGCCCTTTGCCGCCCCAAGCCACTGGCCAAGTGAATCAGCCCAAGTTGCGTGCCGTAGTTAGCCGTGCTAGTCACTTATTACTGTAATTGAAGGCACGCGCATTTCATTTGTTGCTGCATTAGCCAAAGTGCTTCATGAGATTTTATTTTGAATAGCGAGACAATCCTATTTAGTATTCATTTTGTGAATTTTCGAAACTTTAGCCGTCTTCACGTCAAAATATTAGGCCAATGCACCTGATTGAAGTTGTTATCTATCAGCTGTTGGCTGGCTTTGTTTAGAATTTTTATGCGATAAGGTTTATTAGAGATAAGCAGCGCAAAAAAGACTGCAAACAACGTTAAATTTGTCTAAGCAATTTTTAGCATTTATAGTTCAGTTCTCGTTATATATATGTATATAATATAGACTTTTGCATTTGAGATCCATTTGCTTGCAGACCGTATTTATACACCGTAGACGGAATTTATTTTCTTCTTTTTCAATATCTAATCTGAACTTCGCACATTTAATTCCGCAACAAGCCCAACTCTTTGAATTAGCTAAACTAACAAATTAAATTAATAATAATAATACCTCAACGAATCGCTTTAGTTTAAGATACAGTTCATTAAAAATAATGTGCTTTGAATTTCGGAGTTAAAATAATGTATTTAAAAATGATAGTTGATAAATAATGATGATAATTTTCAGTAATATGAAAACCTTACACACATACATATTTACATATATTGCGAAAAAATCCTTCATAAAATTTTCTGTCTGTAGACCTTTTCCTCAAATTGTTGCTATTATTAGTTAACTGTTATTGCCCTTTAAGTTAATTGCAATGACCACAGAGATTATACTCAATTGGTAGCAGATAAGATAGGGCTTTATTGAAGTTGCGCCAATTAATTGCAATATTTATTATGAAGCTTACCAGACTTGGGATCATGTTGCTGCCGGTTGTTGTTGCTATAAAAATCCATTATTTGGCGTGTTTGTGCGTGAGGGACTCAATAAGTTAATTTGCAGTGCAATGCACTTGGGTAGTCTAAGGGTTGAGTCAGCAGAAGGGACTGCAGTTGAGTGCACTTTGAACTAAGGCTAAGTATATTGGTAAGGGGGTTGACCCGGACTCTGAAACCGTTTCACTGTGTAAGCATATATAGCGTGTGTGTCTGTGTTGGTGTTGTTGATATTTGGTGCAGGCTTGACAGCTGCTTGCCTCCCTCTTCTTGATTTTCACTATCGATTAAACACTTTTCACTTGCTGCGCCGCATTACACTTTCGCACACACTTCTGCCCCCTGTGCCTTCTGTCTTTTGCTCTGTTGGATAATTTCAAGCGGGAATTTGTTTTCGCTTTTCTCGCTGGATTGCCACAATCTCAATTACAATTACAATTACAATTAGTTGCATGTGGAAAAGCGTGAAATTTTTGTTGCACAATTTGCGGCTATTGCTGACCTACATTACGCGCCAACCTCAACAACGGCATCGACAACAGATGAGCCACAGATTGAGATATGGAGAATTGCGTCTTGCTCCACACAATATGCATAAATTATTTGTAGCTGGCAAAGTTTTGGTTTTTGTTTGTTTTTTTTTTTTTTTTTTTTTCTGTACGTGTTGACTGCATTCGATGTATCTAGATCTTATTGCACTAGATGTTGTTGTTGTTGTTTTTGCTGCTGTAGTTTTCACCCAGTAACCGAGTTCTTTGACCAACCCCGCCCCGATTGCCGAATGACCCGCAAACGAACCACGTGCGATGCGACTGCAATCGACGAGCTCACGAATTGCACTAAATGCGTCTCCGGATTCTGTGTGGAAACGGGGCAGGATGTTCGTTTACGATATTCCGGGGTTGTTGTTATTGCGCATCACATATCGTAAACGATATGCTTGAGCGTTAACTGCGCCGAATCCACAATGGCTGTGCCCCGTGTGTGAGTGTGAATGTGTGTGTGTATGTATGTGCGGGTGGCTGTGGGTGGCACAGTAATAATTCTATTTGCGTGTCAGCGCCGGTTAAATTGTCAGTTGAGTTGCTCTGCATTCTGTTTATGCTCCAATTGAAGCTCCAAACAATGGCAAAAATTGTAACACTTCGCTGAAGTGCGGCTGGAGTCGCCACCAGGAAGCAATAGCAAACGGAGACGCACAAAGGGCACACACACACACACAACAACAACAAAATGCAATGACAGTGCAGCTTGGCATGACATAACAACTTCCTGTATAATTTACGCGGCGCCCCCGCGTCTCAGCGTCTCTCATTGCAACGGTTCGAATTGAGTTATTCACTAGCGCAACAGCTGCTTGAGAGATGCTCAAAAGGGGGGACTCTAACAGCATTTGTTTACGAATAGCAAGCCTCCATGCTTCTACTGTGTGTATGTGTGATGAGCCCTATGCATGTAAGCATGCAAGTATAGGTAAAAATCTAGGAAAGTTTTGCGTCAATTACTTTCGGCAGCAAAGTTTAAAATTAACGGATAATTTGCATAAGAGCGCGTACTAAAAACAACAAAGCAAAAGAGCTTTCGCAAAGCTTTTTATGTGAAAGCAACAATTGAACAGGCGGCAAAGCAGAAGGCGGCACTCATACCAGCCAAACGCAGAGAGAGAGAGAGAGAGGGAGACAGAAAAAGAGTCAGAGTGGGCGACCGCAACGACGCTACAACGTGCTGTGCTACGACAAACGTTTGTAGCGTGAGGGTTAACTCCCGCTGTGTCATAGGGAGAAATGAAGCATAGAATATACTCGTCAGCTGCCTCAATCTACATACATATATATAAACACAGAGTAAAAAAAAACGCTCAGTGTGAGAGCGTAATATAAAAATAGCCGCGATTGTATTTAATGTACTCGTTTCATTCTCCGGTAATAAACAAATGAGCATGAAATATGAAATATATTATTTTTATAAATTATAATTTGCTAAATGCAAATAAAATAAATAAAAAATAAAATAAATAAAATCAACAAAAACCCATTGCCAAAACCAAATATGCAGCATCAAATGCGCACAGGCAGACATTCAATTTCTGCTCTACAACAACAACTCTCACACACACAAACAAGCAAACAGTCACCCTCAGTGAGCTGTGAGCGTGTGAGCAAATATACATTTGTGAAAACTGTCGGGCAATGTCGACACTGCTGCTTATGTAGCACGTTTAGACAGACCCGTTCAACAAGTCAGGTTGGCCGAGCGGTCTAAGGCGCCAGATTTAAGCTCTGGTTCTCGAGAGAGAGCGTGGGTTCGAACCCCACACCTGACAAGTTGGGAAAATCACTTTTTTTTATTTTATTTTTTTTTAATTTATTATTTAAATTAAAAAACAAGAAAATTATTATGCCCTGGTAGTTAAAATTTTTATTTAAATCAGCTATAATTTAAATACTTTGTATTATGTTGTGTGAATTATGCATGTTGAATGTGTCTTCTACTGCAGCACGATGAAAGTTTATAAATACAGTTTATCAAAAATATTGTTAATGCATTGGAGCTGATTGCTCGAAAGATGATTCATCCGAGATTATTTACGGCCACCTGACTGCAATTGCAGTTGTTGGCCGTCGGAGAGCCCGAAAAGGGCTATTTAATGGAAGTCATTCTACCATTGAAACACCTTCCGGTTGACCAAAGGCCAAAAAACCAAGCCCAAAACCAAAGTGGGCAACAAAAGGCCAGCAAGTGCCGTTGACTCTGAATAATTAATAATCATGCTCTCTGTTCGTTATGTGTCCATTGTTTTGGCGTGTGCTTTGTTATGTATTCTGTTGCATTGCGCCACAACACGTTCGGGCGACAACAAAACATTATGGTTTAAAAAAAAAAGATGCAAAAAATAACTAACTAACTAACTTTAGTCTGATGGACTGAACGAGGACAGTCTCACAAATTTGTAACTTAACAAAAAGTACAAATTTTAATTAAAATGGGTTTTAGTTTTCTTTGATAATAATATATAAATTTTTCAGACTACGCTCGTGTGTGATTAAATAGCAATGAAAATTTCATTTTGCTTAGCTGAAAAATCGATTTGCCAAGCGCTGTTTTATTTATTTTTTGTTTTCTTTGTTTTCATTGATTTCGATTAATTGAAAAATTATCGATGCATTCATTTCATATAGATTTGATTAAAGTTTTAATTTGTAGACAAATTAAAATAATTTCAACAGCGAATCAATCAAAAGAGAGCTGCCTTTCATTAGATATACATTTCTTTTAGATATCCATGAATAACCAATTCGTAAATTGATTTTCTATAACACGTGACAGCGCTGTTGCAACATTGACAATGTATCTCTTTTTGATTTTTGTTAATTTGCTTTTGCTTTTGGCCTCTGCTTTGGCCCATTTTGCGGTGTGTAACCTAGTTATATGTGACACTTCCCGTATATATGCACGTTGTATATATATGTATATATCAGCTGAACAAAAAAGATGATTCCATGCAAAGAAAAAGCCAAACAATTGCCATAATTTCATAACCCAGAGCTAACCAAGCTCGTTTCCCATTCTTTCAACGTTGGAGAAACAATTTCAATTGCTTTGTGGCATACAAAAAGCAGAGCTCAAAAGACAGCAACAATAAAAACAACAACAACAGAGTTGTTGAAAATTGTGTAATAATTGCGACATTTTCTGTAGCTCAAAGCCCTGAAGTAGAGCTTGCAGAAGTGAGCAACTGTGCAACGTCAGAGCGAGCTAACAAAATAGAATTTGCAACACGATTCAGCTGGAGTTTTGCAGGCGATGCAGGCGTCTTACACGTTGCAGACGAGAATTTATAGGATAGCATTTATATAAGAAATCGACGTAAGACGTCCAAGAAGACCATGACGAATAGATAAAGTTGTTCACTTTCTGCTCTGCTATGCGTCAAGCTAAATGGTTGTTTCACTTCATTTTAAGTGATTTCAAAAACATGTCTCATCCATTTTAATGTTTAAATGAATGCATTACTAATATTATGAGCATTTGGTTTTGTTTATCTGTTTTTAATTGAAGCCCACAAATAGAACATAGAGTGGAAAAATGTGAAACCAATAAACGATCTTATGCGTCTAGTGCTAGTCGTAATCAGATGACAAAGCGCAAAAAGTGGAAATGAAGAAAGTGTAGGTATAGAGCGTTCGTAAGATCTGACTCTAAGTCCGACCGAGAGGTACATTGACGGCCCTGTGACAATTGCTTGCAACTAAACATACATATACACGAGGGTACGAGCACACATTACGAGCACACATTAAAAACTTCTTAATATTTTAGCAAAAGAGGAAGATTAAGGTGTGGAATTCTAATTGAATAAAAGATTAACAAAAATATTATTTTTAGTGCTTAATCAGAGTGCTCTTTAAGTTGATCAGCTAACTATTTCTGGAGTTGCTATAAGCAATAAGACTCACATTCAGACAGGTAAACAGATACAGGTATACTCGATTATTAATTCTTATTAAAAGTATTAATATTTTATGGACTCATCCACTTTGCCTACTGTCCAGCTGTTACGTAGATCTTAAAAGGAATCTTCATTGCGCACTTTTAATGTATTTGGGGATATAAATAGAAGGAATCTCGCTGGAATTTAATTACCAGCACGCTCTTTCAGCCATAGCAAAGGTAATTGAATTGCTTTGGCTCTGGCTCTTGCTCTGACTCTGGCTTTAGCTTTGCGTGGCTATAAAAACAAGTTTCAGGCTCAGCGTTCAGTGCGTTTCAATATCAAGTTCAACCAGTCAGGCTCAGGGACGCTAACGGTGCCAATGTCCAGCGACAGGTTCCTGATTCGTAACGCGGGGGCTCGCAAGAATCGAGGCAAAGGCAAAGGCAACCGCAACATCAGCAGCAGCAGCAGCAGCAACAGTCGCACAATTCACATACAACTGCGCATATCAGTTGCACGGATTTGCGTTCTTCTTGCACTGGTGGCAAGTGAGTAACCAGTTCAACTTGTTTGCCAGCTGCAACACAGCCACAGAATCAGCGAATAAAAGCGTATCACAAACGTTAAGCTCTTGCCAGTGGGCTACAATCGACTGCATCATACCCGTTCATCATCGAAAAACAGCAAAGGCGATCAGAGATGAGTCTTTAGAACTTTATAACTAATATATATAACTTTCTCTGAGATGCATAATTTTCAACATTTGTCTTTCTGAACATAAATAGACTAAGACTATAACTTCTCGCAGCCAAGGCTCTGATTCGATAATACAAAGCTTGAGCTAAGGCAAGTAAGATACGAGATAAGTAAAGATACACATAAAAGCAAACACTGCACAGAACGAATATACTCGTTTCAAAACGTGCAGGAACGTAGAAAAATCTGCGCTGTCAGCGATTGATGATGAGTCATGCGGCTAACTAGCCCCAAGTTGTGTTTTGGAAAACCTCAGTGAAAAGCTGCGCAGAGAGGAAATGCTCGAAAAGCAATTACGTTTGCAACAATAGAACGCTGCAGCTGTAAAATTTATGGTCCAAACTTAACAGGAACATGATTTCAGCAGCACGGTTCGGTGCCGCAACGGCGGGGGGTAAAGTTCACTGTACCGTAAAGCAGCAAACGCATGCGTACATCAGCTGAAAAAAAAAATACAGACAACAAAACGAGTTCGTTTCGAGTTGGCTTAGTTTTTTTTTTTTTTTTTTTGGCCAACAAAACACTTCGCATAGTTTAACCTAATATATTTTTTAACTATGTATGTAGTTCCCCAATCCTTTTCCGAGTTCAACGACTTTGCCTTCAAATTGTGTTGCAAATGCAAGAAAGATTTGCTATGTT